ATTTATCAAAGTCGCGGAGTGGATTTTGAGGCAAGAAGAAGTGGTATGACAGGACGAACGTACCGTAAATACCGAGTAAAACGAACGTGCTCTTAAGAGGGTTGGCAGCAGAGGTGGTTGGTAGGGGGGGGGCGCCTACTACTACTACTACTACTACTACTACTACTACTGCTACTACTACTGCTGCTGCTGCTACTACTACTACTACGACGACGACGACTCCTCCTTCTCCTCCTCCTGCTGCTGCTGCCGCTGCGGCTATATACTGCTACTACTACTGCTGCTGCTGCTGCTGCTGCTGCTGCTGCTGCTGCTACTGCTAGTGCTACTGCTAGTGCTGCTGCTGCTGCTGCTGCTGCTGCTGCCACGAATTATCGTTGCAATCTGAAGCCGGACTTAGCGCAATGCCATGCGCTCATGGACACGACTGAGTTGACATTCAGGGAGCCCTGCCTGTACCCTCGACAGAGAAGCCTCGATCCTTGGAGAAGCTGAACTCTGCTCCTGGAGACCTTGGCCCGAACAGCCGGGGGCAGCTTTGGATTCCAGGAGGGAAGACTCAGAGCGGAAAGCCTCAGAACTGCATCGCCTCTCGTAGATCCTAGCCTGAAGACGTTGAAGGCCTGCTTGGCACTGAATGTTGGCCCCCCCCCCCCGGAGCCTGCAGGGCCTTGGCACTCTACGACTTCAGACTCCTTGCTGAGACCCGTGGCCCATTGCAGGAATCGCGCTCCTCCTGTCTCAAGGCAGATGATCCAAACGGAGAGGCCTTCTTGAAACCATGAAGCGCGACTTTCAATCATGCCTTATGGAGTTCAAGAGACAGACCGGCCTGCCTGCAACGTCATCTGCTCCCAGTGCTGGATGGCCTCTGGCACCGGCATCCGTCCTGGAGACCCGGGAAGAGGGGCATTGGGGGGGGGGGGGCGTGAGCCTCGCATTGCGGCAGCATGCGCTCAGAGCTACGAAGATGTGGCCCGGGGGGGATACTATAATGTATAATATAACATTATATTATATTATATTACATTATATTATACTACATTATAGTATATTTATAATATGGGACGCTCCTTCGCTTCCCATGGCCTTCGGCGCCTCCAGGGCCTCCAAGGAACTCCGAGGTGGCGAAGGCACTGAGACAACCCCCCGTAACCCCGTCCGTGCTTCCGGGCCTGCCCCACGAAATCAGCCATGTGAGACGACGGGCATAGGTAGCCCCCCAATGTATGCTACGGACTCCAAGATTGCTAGACGGAAGTCAGAAGTTCCTTCGCTCCGGTCCGTAAAGCAGCGCTTCTCTGCCACTCTTGCAAAGGGCCGTTGCAGATCCGAGTCTGTGCCGATCATTACTGCCTCCACTCATCTTCTGCTTACGGGCTCAAGTTGCCAGCAGCTGATATCGCGACATGCTACTTGTGAATAGTGACGGCTTGTGGGCCGCAGGGTGAATCGGCGGCAGGGTTGGATAACTCTGTCATGTCTTTAACCCATCCCGAGAGCGCACTATGATCGCCATAAACCTGTGCAGAGGCGACACTCAGCAGATACATCTGCACCACAGCGCGAACCATAAGACGTGCTGGCTGCCTCATCCCTCCAACCTCGCAAAGAGCTCCCCCCGACAACTGCGAACTGAATCCCAAAACGCGTCTGGCGAGAAGGATCGGGGTCGGTTGCACCTGCAGCGCCTTGGTGAATTGGGCCAGCCCCTACCACTCTCAATGTTCCTCGTGCGGAGCTGCATCTTTGAATCCTTCATGTTCTGCCTCAACACCTTCTTGCTCCAAGGCTCATGGCGGCAGCACTTGCTCTATGCAGCAAATCTTTCGCAACCTTTCCTGGGGCTGGGACTCCGCTTTGCAGCTCGAGTTGCGTCTTTTGCGCCTACAAGGGCTGGGACTCAGGGCGATCATCCGACCTACCTTTCTGTATGCCGCTCTATTGTCTCTCCGTCCGTCTGTCCATCTGCTCATCCATACAGACGGAGAAGCACTCTTGCAAGATCTAGCCGGCTGGAGACTCACCGGGCCTGGCTCCTCTGCCTCTAGGTCTCCAGTTTAAGGCTTTAGTTACAGTCTCCACTGTGACGACCATGTTTGGGTCCTGGGGTTCAAGGGCTTGCAAGCCAGCCTCGAGCTGTGCGAGTTCGCTGCGGCTCCTCTCCTGCATCACGGAAGCTTCGGGAGCAGGCCTCATGCGACCGACCCCGAGCCTCCACACTGCGGAGATTCAGCGCGAGCTCGTGCTTCTGCCGCTCCTGTCGTGTGTGTGCTCGCTCTGAGGCGTCTCTGCTGCTTTGGCTGCTTGACGGCTTTACGCAACGAGCTGTTGTGGCCTCGATGTCGCGCCTCTCCTCCAGCTCAGCAATCTGCTTCTGGTAGTCGGCTGTAAGCTGTTCCACCGACCTGCACACTCCCATGCTGTTTCTAGCTTGCTCCACATGGACTCGACATGTGTGTGACACATACACATGTCACAACAGTATGCATGCAAACTGCCATGTCGAGGGGTGCAACGCGACTCAGGCTAGACCCTTCAAGAGCGCTAAGACGCCTGCGAATGCACCTAAAACCCTGCCTGAGAATCTCTGCCATGTGTCGGACGCCCTTGGAGCCAGCTCTCCTCGAAGCCTCCAAAAGCCCTCGAAACCGAAGCGGCGAAGCGGCGAAGCGGCGAAGCGAAGCGCCTCTCGTGGTCGGAGGTGCGGCCAGCCGAGTCCGAATGCAGCTGCTCCAACTGCACAGGGAGAGGCTCGAAACGTCCTGGCTTTTCTCGGGGTCCCTCTCGGGAAGTTTGCCAAAGTGCCGCAGTTGGCGTTGTCGGCGTCAGCTTGGTAAAGGGATTGCTGGGGCTTCGGAATCAGCAGAAGCCCACAGAAACCTGGTCGAAAAAAAGCGGAAAGGAAGCAGGATCTCAACACAACATCCGAGACAGCGCCAATCCGAGATCTCTTGGCTGGCACCTCTTGCTTCAGCGCGTCAGCTTCATGCGTCAGCGCTTCCAGGTCCCTGTGCAGAGGGTGACGAATGCAAAGAAAGAGAGGACTTCAAGCTCAGCAGCTCCGCTGTCCGAGTCGGCAACTTTTCCTCCCCGCAAACCAGCTTGCAGTCGTTGCCAGCGCAAGGAAGCGCTTTGGGCATCCACAGGTGCTTTGCAGAAGGTCTACATTGCTAAACAGTATCCACATGGCCGAAACCAGGCCATGTGCATCGCAAGCTACGCCTCTGATTGACACTCCAGCGTGTTTCCGGTCAGGTAGATGTGTACAGTGCACGTGCTTTCGCTGTCACAAGCGATGCCACTTGTTCCAAAAACACTGCTGGAAGCGCATAGGTGGCGGGTGCATCACTTGCGCATGTTTCTGCAGCAGGTGACGGGGACATTAGCTTGCAAAAGGGGCTGATGCCTCACACGGCATTCCCCGCCTCGCAGTGACAGGGTGCAAAGATGAGCTGCATGAGCTCGGGAGCCATTTACGGAAGTTCTAAGATGTATGTCTAATTTGCTGATAAGCCCGAATATGTCCAAATGTTACATCCCATAATCGTCATCAATGCTTTGACCTTACAATTAAAAGTGTAAGCCTGATGATAGCGGGAGAACGTTGAGCTTGCATGGCAGGCCGGCCTTAGGTGCTCTCTGGCCTCGACCATTTCGAGGCAGACTGCAGACAGCTCCTGGGCTCTGTGTGCATGTTGAACACCTGGGATTAGCAGATTAGCAGCCCTTTGCCGGGGACGGTACTGCAGCGCAGCCGCCTGCTGCCTCCGCCTGCATCCAGGGAAGGTGGAATGGAAATCATGCAGCTTTCTTTTCGAAGATTCGCAGAAGCTTAGCCGGCAGCAGTTGGTTGAAAACCGTCGACAAAAAACTCGCGAGCCAACCCAATACTGCTGAAGTTTTTGATGAGGCCGGATTCAATGAGGCTTCAACTGACAATTCCCGATCATTCACCGCGCAGGCAGATGAATCGTCCTCAGGACCTCGACTAGCTGCGCGCGGTACTCCAGGCTTAGCTTCCGACAACGAGGGCGCTTGCATCTTTTCCGTTCCCACCCTGCAGCCTGAAAACAGCCTCCAAGCCCCTTTCGTGCCTTTCCGCGAAGCGCCGGTTAACCGGCGCACGGCGCAGAAGTGCCTGCTGTGCCTTCGAAGCACCTGCGCAGCCATTGATTGAAGCTGTCGGGCCCTGTATACTTAACAGTTGCAAAGAAGAGGTGGAAACGACTTTCTCGGGCAATCCAAGAGAAAAGGCACATCTACAAAGAAGAAGAAGAAGAACGTGTAAAACAAAAAACAACAACCCAATGAATCCTGGATTGGAGAGGTACTACGGTGATCGCTTCTGCCGGGGTGACACGTTCAGAAGTTGTGTGCTTTTTAGTTTTTGTATGTTCCAAGATAACCCAAAGATTGCACGGTTCACTTTCTTAGCTGTATACCAGCTCAAGGGCAGCGGCCACTATCAAGGAAGGTCAGACAGAACCGAAGACGAAGGAAGCCCCGTTCAGGTCGTGCTGGGACCTACGGACCTACGAATAGGAATCACCAAGATGCCCTGTGCTCTGCTTAAGCGGGGCCTTCCACCACGAGCTGGGACCTTAGCAGGGGCAGTACAAAAGGCTCCACAGCTTCACGAGCAGGCACAGGCCATCAGGAGAACAGGATGCCGAAACGAAGCGTGGTTCACGAAGTGTACGATCGTTTGCCTTGCAGCCTTTCACAGGATTTTGGGCAGCCTGAACCCGTCCAGCTTGCAAGTTGCTCGCAACTCAATACACTCTAGCCGCCGGCATGGTTCCGGCAACGCCCTCGGAGCATTCTCGATCTTCGCCTTGCCCCAGCAGAACTCGTCGAAGTTCGGGTCGTCCGCGGCACTAAGGCCTTTACAAGAACAAGCATGCTACGTTGCATCGCCGGCATGCCTCGCTCGCATGTCAGGCCTTCTCGCACACAGAGAAACTTTAGCACGTCTCGGAACTCCTGGCAAACGCCTTGCCAGTAGTCCTTCCTCAGTTGTGCATCTGTCAAGAGGAGACAACTTGGTTCTGCTCGTCAAGCCCTAAGCCCTGAGGACTGGATAGTTGGGCGAGCCTTCCTTCATGAGCCTTCTTGTTCATTCATGTTTGTCATGATTCATCACCCCACCTGCATCCTAGAGTCGTCTCACATTCGCCCAGGTTGAGGAACCGTCATGGCCCTCCTGTGGCCTGGCGGGGGTCTCGTGAGGAACCATACAACTCCAAGCTTTGAAACCCTAAGCCCTGAAACCTGTAACCCTGAGGCCCTAAACTCCCTAAACCCTCAAAGCCCCAAAGCATCTCAAGCTACGTTTCGGCCAAGGCGCTGTTCTACTGCGAGTGCCGAGGCCGGGCGGGGCGAGGTGCCCGCTGAATCCAGGGCCTTCAGAAGACAACAACTAAAGTGGAAGAACGGTATGTTGATGTTCATGCTATATAACCATTTCAATAGTGAGCGCAACAATAATCGTAACAAACCACACAAGCGCATGGAGGGAATGTCGAAGGGGCAGAGTGGCCTCCAGCAAGTCTGCATGGCGGAGCTTGCCTTCGTGCTGGACGCATCCAGCAATGTCGCGGAAAGATGCCAGACTGAACCCGAGAACAAGTCCAAGCCAACAACGCAAACCGCGCACGTCTCTAACATGCAAAGTTTAGGAGGCTTGCTCCCCGCGCCTTGTCGTGTGCAGCCGGGCGCCAGCAGGGCGCGGAGGTGGTCCCGCGCTCCGCGCACGGACCAGCTCGGGTACTCCTCGCCGGCACCGAGTCTTTGAAGGCAATGCTGTTGCCGGCAAGCGCCAGAGCTGTCAAGAGCTTCTCAAACTGCGGCACCCTCGCAACGCTGCTGCGGTCCGTCTGTACTGTAGCTGCATGAGCCTGTGGTTGGCAATCGTAAAGCAGTTTGGGGGTGGGGTCGATGCCCCCGGGAGCCTCGCAGATCTGCAAATAGTGCAGGCAATACCTGCCGCCACACCCCGTACCCTTGAAGCGGCAACCCCAAACACGGCGAATCGAATCCAAACAAGAAACAGAAATAGAAATAAGGAAAAAGTCCGACAAGAAGCGATGCTCCCGACCATGTATGTCTATAGAGTCTATAGAGTGATATAGCCAGTGACAGTTGCAAATTATGCATACTAGTTCCAACAACAGTAACAACACCAACAACGGCAAGTATACTCATCACGGCAGCACCAGCTATGCAACGAACGCTAATTAATCACAGCAAAACGACAGTGGATAGCAATAACCGGAAGCGATGCCACCAACCCACAAAGTAGCAACAGCAGCAGCAGCAGCAGTAGGCGAAAACAACAGCAATTTGCGAAAGGAACCGCGGCAATAACATAACCACTAAGAGCAACAGCAACAGCTTGCACCAGCATCAGAAGAACAACACCGTTGAATGTAGTGCGAAGGCGGGGAAAAGACTAAGAACAAGAAGAATAACAATAACAACAACGACAATAACAAGAACAACCACAGCAACGGAAGAACAATGACAGCAACAGCAATAGGAAGGATATCAGTTGCAATGGCAGTGACACTAGCAACTGGAATCCCTGCTTTTCTGAACTCTAGACTCCGCTGACAACACGCATTGCATTCACTGCAGATGGCTGAAGGCTTAAACGAAGCCGCTCCGAACGGCTGACGTTCTGGGCTGGCATGGTTGAAAGTGTGAAGCCTACACGCGTTTACTCGCTGTCGCGTCTGTTGCAAAACAGTTTCAATAGCACGCGATCCCGAGCTGCCTGACGCCCCGCCGCAGAGCCGACTCCTCTCCTTTGCACCTTTGGATTTTTTCAGCGGCTAGGCTGGGAAGGTTTGAGGAATTGGGGGGGCCTGCATGGCTCCATGCATGCTCCATGTCCCAGATAGTTCCCTTACTCGAAAGCCTAAACTGAACGACCATCATGATTTCAAGTCTCTACAGCGATAACAAGGCGCTACTCTTCAATGGCGAGTTGCTGGTCGCCTGCGGCATGCTCTTGCAGAGCATGAGAGGCTAAGAAAAGCTCCTTAGCAGTCATAAGCATGCAGATCTGATGTCCGGATGCGGCGCACTTCGGATTTCGGACCGGACAAGAGCACACCCACTGGTTGCCATTCCATACTGACACATGGCCTAGCTGCAGAATCAGGTGCAGTGGCAGAAGTATTCCAGGTGCAGCTCAAGCTTCGGGGTTCTGTAGCAGCGCTGTGGCCACCATTACAGCAACACCTTCGACTTGGCAGGCAAATTGGCGCAAAACGCCAAGGTTTTGAGTGGTTCGGTGGGATACGGTGCGCGTGGACCCCTGAAGCCTCACACGTGCTCTCCGAAGAGAACGTCTGCCACTATGTCAATTGGAAACCGGCTCGGGTTTTTGGTCTGAAGGCTTCGAATGACGGAGCCGGGGGCGGATTCAATCTGCGGGTCTTCTTGCCGTTATTTTTCTGCGGGAAAAGAACGGAACCCTTAGATTTTGCCTCAGCCTCGGCAAGGGCCCAGCAACGTACACCAGGATTTCCTAAGTCCTAAGAGCGATTCCAACGAAATCTCCTCAAAGCTAAAGTCCTCATTCTGAGGCTTTTGTTTGACGCCCTTGTCCTATTGGCCGGCGACCCTCGCTTGAAAAGACTATCTCTATGGTCAAAACAAACGCTCGTCCCAGGCACAGCCCGTCTCCTGAAAGCACCGCTCAGCATCTCCGGGTGCGTCCACACCGCCGTTAGCCACCTGAAGGCTCCCCCAGAACCCTGAACCGGTGCTCGTGTTCAGACGTAGATTGCTGAGCAAAGAAACGAGGCAGTCCGACGGACAGGAAACTCTCCAGAACAAGCTCAACCCCGCCCAGCCCTGCGTCCACACGACCACCCTTCATTTCCGTAGCTTATACAGGGCTTGAGAGTTTTGAGATCACAGTTTTGTCAGTGTTCCCGTGTCATCTTCAAACAGGCTGCCGTGGGGAGTCGCAGCGCCTCCCGCACGGCGCGGATAGCCTGGCCGGGAATTGGAACTCTCCCTTGCAAGCCTCACCCTTGGAGGTACCAGGTCGTTGCTTTCCTATGATGAAGCAGGTCGGCTTGGAGGCAATGGCACTGTAGCAAGATTACCGAACTAGGTATCCCGTCAATTGCAGCTGCCATGCTGCTACTGCTACTGTTAATTACTGCTACTATGCTACTGCGACGACGCCGACGACGACGACGACTACGACTAGTACCAATGCTCCTACTGTCCTACTGCCCTCTTGTCCTACTGCGTCTTCAGGTCCTTGGCCTGCCAGTTCGCGGGAGCGTGGTGCAGTGCGCGGTCCCTCTGTCGGCCATGTACGGTGACGAGGGAGCAACCCGCCTCCTGCGAAAGGGCAGCAAAGCGGAGACACCGGGGCAAAGGCAAAAGTGAAGTCTCCTTCAGCCTAATTAGTGCGGCATGCTTCGGAGCCCGGAAGAGCAGCTCAGTTGTGCAGACATGGATCCTGAAGCATCTTGGCGAAGCGCACAGTCTTGCGGTCATCTGCCTGTCCGGATGATGGGAGAAAGACTAGAGGGCCGATCGTGACTCATTTTGCATAGGCCAGCGGCCAGTCCGACATAACATGCCTTCAGACATAGTTCGAATGCTCCAATAAGCCAAGCTGCAAACACGCGGATCTTGCAGGTGACGGGTACACGAAGCGAAGGGGAAGAGGCGGCATGTCTTACGATCGCGTAGACGATATGCCAGTTCTCTTCGTCCATCAGCGCGCCACCCCATCCCCCTTCGCAGTGTAAGGCATAAGGCTCTCTTCCAAGGGACACCCAAAAAATGCCTCAGGGGGGGGCCTCGCATGGCCTTGGACTGGGGGGCAGCCGAGGTTGAGGTCGACGGCGTCGCACCTCTCCTGCTTTTTTTTGGCAGGGACATGACGGCGCTTGCATCGAGGCTCGGCTTAAGGGACCCTCCCTGCGGTGCCCTCCGCCTCGCTCCTGCACCTGCAAGGCGGCCTCCAGGAAGGCCTCGGGCGACTTGGCGCAGAACTGCACCACCAGCGGCCTGCAGACGGGGGCCTTCCCACGTAGTGCCGAGGCTTCACATCCCGGCCTGTCTTCCGGGCAGCTGGTGAAGCCCTGCCGCACCATCTCCTCCTCGGAGCTGCCTAGCAGCGCACACCAGAGCAAATCTTCGCCCTCTTCAGCTTTCTTGTCGCTTGGCGGTTAGCCCGAGAGATTCTGGCTGCTGGATGCAAGAGCCCGGTTCTAGAAAAGCCATCACAAGCTTCAGATGGGTCATCTGGGTCAGCGTCCCAAGGAAGGAAAGTGGGTTCGGCAAGGAGGGAATTACGAGTATGGCAACAGAAGGATCGAACACCGTGGGATCCACAAAGCAACTACAATATAAGCGACTCCGGTGAGCACAAGCACAGTCTGCCGCTGCCTGCGAACTCTTCTGCGTGCCTCAAGTTTCATCGGCGAGCCGCAAGTCAGGATACTGCTCCGCATACCGGCAAGGACACATGTCCAGCTTCTTGCATACAGGATGCAGCATGGGTGTGTAGCAGAGGTCGCACCCCGATTTGCGCAGGAGGAGGCGGTAAGCCAGCTCAGACTGTCCCACCATTGGTGCGCACACGAACCGCGGCGAACCCAGTGTCTCAGCTGGCAGGCAGTGAAGCACCGGTGCGAAAGTTCACGCGAGACATCGACCTCATGTCAGTTCTTGTGAAGCCTGCACTAAGCCCGTGGCGGTAGAAGTTCCAGGCATCCTTGACTCGCGTATCCTCATCTGGCAATTGGCCGAGGCCTTTGCCATTCCGGGCCATCAAAGAGATCCGGCGTCTGTTTTGCCACTTCGGGGGCAATGGAAGGATCGGGAGGAATTGATTCTTTCTGTCGGCGCTGGTGGATGTGATTTTGGTAGAAGGCCTTTGCTTTCAGCATGTTATCTGTCGTCGCTTCTGCTCAGGAGCTTTTTTGCGGTGCTACCTGAACTTAGGAGAGCTTTGTACGGCCAATGATGGGTCGGCTGCGAAAGCACTTGGACTGTTGCCGGTGCTCTGAAAGCGTGCATTGTGAACCAAGCTTGAGCCACTGGCTGAGAGAGCTGTGACAAGTGCCGACTCTACTTGATGCCCTGATTGGAGGCGGCGACAGACTGCAGCTACATGTCAGAATCAAAGGGGCCGCCTCGTGGCATTCTGCCGGCTGCGCTCGCTGGCGGCGAATTTGCTCTCGATGGCACGCAGCTGCACGTCACGGATCAGTAAGCAAGGGGAGCGGCATGGAGAAACTCATGCGAAAGGTCAGAGGGGACAGAAGCGTTCGAGGGTTGGTCAAGCCCGGTCCTGCCTGCTCATCCTTCTGTTTCAGGAGATGCTCCAGCTCGCGCTCCATCTCTTCCCTCACCTCAAACAGACGCATGGACGCGTGCAGTGGCCAGGTCTCCACGAAGTTGTCCAGCCTGCCCAAGAGCTGCATCAGACGCCTCCCACGGACGGCTCTATTGCAGGGACACCGGAAACGTATGTCAGAATCGACTGTAGGTCCATAGGTCGAGATAACAGTGGTTTCACGTGTTCCCAGCGTCTGCAACAGGCATCGAGTCGCGCTAGGAAGCTCTCTCACACCACGCTTCAACGTTTACGCCTCGGAGCCCCTTCCTCGGACCCCCCCGACCAGGCCTCGGCGGCCTGCACGCGCGCCCGCTCAGATGCAGCGGACGCCTCTCCCGGAATGACACATGAGCACCATCTGGAGGGGCTGCTCAAAATTTAAACGATGATCTCATGACTGATGCTACTAGTAGCCGTGTCAACCCGAAACAATGTCTGCACGTGCAGGGGAGATGCTTGATGGCACGGAGGGGACTCGCAACAACGTTCGGACACTAACTGTCAGCGACAAAGCAAACCCATCGTTGGGCCAGCCCAAAAGACACTGTCGCCCCAATAAACTCCACACATTGCGGCGCGCAGCCGGAATTTCGGAGCCTTTCAGAAGGGCCGACAAGTTGCGGCACAAGCCGCCCTGTGACTCGACAGCGGCATGCCAGGGCCCAAGCGAGGCCGGGCACTTCTGTCCGCAACCATCCACACAAGTCCACCGACGCGATGTCACCAGATGAAACAACGGGTGGGAGGCCGGTGGACTGCAACACAGTCTACTTCTTAGTCTGGGAGATACCTGTCACGCTATTATCTTTTGTGCTTTTTGGGCGTAGTGTGTCGCTGCCCGTGCATCTTGCGCAATCCGCTTTGACCCCAACACCCTCTAGCTGCTGAACCTTCAACATTCGCCAAGCCTTGGCACCGACACCAACTGTTTCAACGCAGCCTGCTCCTAGGCAAGCATCACAGCTTTCTGGATTCGCTACTAAAGGCGCTAAACTGTAACATAGCCTGTCATGATGATGATGCCCACCATGAGAGGGGATGTGTGTAAGTCGAGTCCAAGGCATTCCGCTCCCGAATCCTCCCTTCCTTGGCCTCCTGCCGCAGCTGGTCGGCCTCACGCTGCAGCTGGGCTGAGGCGGCCTGCAGGATGGCACAAGTCTTCCGAGCCCCGGGCCCGTCCGGAATCTGTGACTTTCAGGCTCCCGTCAAGGCCTCTGCTTGCTGCCGTGCCGCCTGCGCCTCCCTGCAGGGACTGCTACCAAGTGTGCAATCCCTTCCAGAAGATTCACTAGACAGCTGCAACTTGCAACCTTGTTACTGGGTTGGTCATGCCACAGCAATGGCACACTACAAGGCTCTGCGACTGCTTCTGGGTCAGCGGCGTCAGCTGCATCGTCATGCAGCCCATCTTCTCGGAGAGCTGGCGACCACAGGCTTAACTTTCGGCTGCGCTGCGCAATGGAAAGGAGAGTGGCAGGGAAAGATCCTTACACGGAAGAGGTTGCTGCTTTCAGATGATGGCTCAAGGCATTTAGCCTTGCAGCTTCATCTGGAAGCATTCCCGAAGCATTTGCAACCTCTTTCTTGTAAGGATCTTTCCCTGCCACTCTCCGAGCTGAGAGAGCGGTCCTGCTGACGCGCCGAAAGCAACCCAAATATAATGTGATGTAATGTAATATAGTATAATGTACTATAATATACTATAATATACTATAATGGATTATAATATATACTATAATAGACTAGGATATACTATAATATACTATAATATACAAGCCTGCAGCTCAACGTCCTTGGCCACCGCAGCCTCGGACTCAAGTTCCTCGATGCGGGCCTTGCGGGGATGCCGAGACCCAGACTTGAGGTCCTTGTGCGTCACTTACATGTTACATACAGTCTCAGACGAGATGACGAGATGAGATTTTACATGTGTGTATAGTATTGCGAAAACCATGCGTGTGATGTTGCTGGTGACACAGAGTTCTCTGTGGTTAGTAGGTTTTGGCCAGGCTAGTCCACATTATGCCGGCCTGGTCTTACTCGAACCGATCGTATGCAATTTATATCGCTTTGCAACGCTTACAATGTCTAACGTCCGACATGTTCGCATACATGTTTTGCAAACGTGCCTGGATGTCACCACATGTTTCATGCTTGTGAAGGTGTTTTCTACTCTAGTGCTTTCTCTTGCCACTGCTGAAAACAAGTGTTGTGCCAGATTTAGGCATCAGAGTTGGCATTCTTACATGACTCAACTACACATGTGCAACCACTCTCATACAAACACACACACACACACAGACCCACAGAGACACGTCTCATGCTGCCGATGATACATTGCATGCTGGGCAGAGCTTGCTTCTGCAAGTGCCCTTTATCGCCATGATCGTCTCAAACAGTCTGTGGTGGGCCTCCTGCCTCAACGATATGACTGCTGTTACGCTTTGTCATATGTGTGACTCTTGGTATCGTCGAAACTATACTGTTGTTGCTGTCAGCAAGGTCACCACGGTTTTGAGCATTATTCGGCTTTGGCGGGCATTTGCCAACGTTCCTACGAGTACTGTTGTTGTATGGTTGTCCTGGGTGCGACTACTTTTCTGCTACGATAATCATGAATGTGCTTCGTTCAGGTACGCATATACGTATATGCCCAGACTTTTTGGATCTAAATTCACACAAAAGTGAGATGCCTGTTTTGGCTCCATTCGTTGGATCCTTCAAGGGCCCTGGGCAGATGTGGCTACGGACACCAGCTAGCATGCATGTAGCTGCGAACATGCACACACAAGAAATATGCATGTAATTCATAGACTAAATGTACCCTGATGCACACTCAAGCTTTCCTTAACTTCCTACAAGCTCGCTGATGGTTCGTGCTCTCATGCATGGTAACTTCGTCTATCATACAGTACGACGACTGCCGCACCTGTAGGTGCGCAATTTGCTGCACGGCACCCATCAGGCGCGCCTGCGACCAAGCCCGGCCCACCAAGACGAGGACGCGATGAAAAAAAACAGTGCAACCACTGCCGATCCATGACCGCTGCAGCTACGACTGATAGATCACGTGCTCAGATCCTTTGTTGGCCTGCTGTCCAGCATTAGCGTGGCTGCTTTCTGAGAATTCCTTCGGAATCCCAACATCAAAGGACTACTGCAGCAACGGGGCAGCTGCACCCTCTAGCGGCTAGAAGTGTCTTGGCATGCTGCCTGGCGCTCAGGCTGAAGCCAGATCCCTCCTTTCCGTCCCTACCGTACAAGGAGGATAAACTACGGCCCGTCTTTCACAGGGCTCGGCTCCATCAGGGACAGCTCCTCGACGAGTGTCCGCTGTGTCCTGATTCTTGGCGCTAGTGATCAGGGGCATCATGTGCCAGGCACTGCTGAATACAAAGCTACTGAGGATTGATGTTTCAGACCGGAGCTGTCAATCGGAAGCTGTCCAGAGCGGATGACAGTTCAGCAGCAAGAGTGAGCAAGTGCAACAGCTCCAACAGCTGCTACAGCTGCTCCGGAAAACTTAGCATGGAATCCTGAGCCCTGAATTCGCCAGCCTCGGTATGGGACTCTGCCGCGACGGTGGCCGGATTTCCTTCTCGCGGATCTCGTGTTGGATGTTCCTAGCGGAGCAAGAAATAAGATACAAAATGAACATCATACGGCATCACACTACCATACAATGCAAGTCAAGATAGTACAATGTGATGCAGTTGGGCATCATGTGCGATTGAGGGTTTTTAGCACCATCTTAGCTCCCTGGCCTCCGCCTCGGATACTGAAACGCACGGATGTCCCCTTGGCTGCGGAACATCTGCATCGAAAGAAGTGAAAGTCGTGTAGACACACGACTAGACATGCGCAGAGAGAGAGAGAGAGACGTGTTTATGTATATGTGTGTATATATACATATATGTATATGTGTACACATATGAAATACATACGTACGTACGTACATACAGACAGCCAGACAGACAGACAGACAGACAGAGGTCTACATGTACAGGAGGTCCAGGTACATGTGCATATACAGGACTATATGTATACACGCACTTTCAAAGATAAACTATGTACCTGCACACGTACACCTGCCTAGCTACCTACCTACCTACCTATCTACCTACCTACCTACCTACGTACCTACCGACCGACCGACCTACCTACCTACACAGACACAGACACACACACACAGATATATATATATATACTTGTGCGCGTGCATGCATGCATCCATCCATCCACCCAGCCAGCCGTGCAGCCACCCACCCACCCACCGACCCACCCACTTACTCATCCTACCCTGCGGATCCATCCATCCATCCATCCATGCATGCACGTACATGGAAAGTCATTTCTACAGACAGTGTCATGTGTTAGGGGCAAGGCTAAGGGCCCGAGGCCCGCCCGGGGGGGCCAGGCGGCTCTCACCGGAGCGGCTCGACGCACGTTTTCGACTAAAATCGCGCCCCTCCGCCCGGGGACACTCAAATAATTGTACAGTCCAATCAATACTTTGGCGCTGAAGTATACAGTGAATCGCGCTCAGGCCATAGATGGGTGAATAGTTTTTGTGGTGTTTTGGATGTAAATCGGGCGCGGGACCTGCTGAGCACATCCTGAAGCTAAACCCAAATCCTGCAAGCGAGATGTTGCTTGGCTCTCGGCTCAGCAGCTCCCGCACCTTTGGCTTCAACTGCCGAGGCAGCCGCTGTTCGGCCTGGCGGGCTTCCAGCAAAGAATGAAGGATGAGACACAGAACTGGGCACTTAAAGGTAGTCTCGGGGTAGGCTGTGTTCAGGGAGAGTGCTTTGTTGATGCGACGGTCCAGCGGCCGCAGGCCTTGTCCTTCTGCGTCCTTGGATGACACCGGATGCCCACAGAACGGAGCTGAGCTCAGGAGTTGCCCAGTGAAGCCGACGAATGCTCCTGTTCTGCCAGGGCACTCAAAGTGTCGGTCGTAAACCGTGGCGATGCAGTGATGACAGGGCGGGTGCCCCACATGTTGCCTCAGGACTTGCAGCTCAGGAAGAGCCAAACCCAAGCTTTCTCGCATGCGAGGATGAGACATACGGTAGAGGAAACTCCGTGGCATCCAGAGCCGAGCTGCCGGATCACTGCAAAGGAGACCTCGTCGTCCAGGACGGAGTCTGCTAGGCTGTCCTGCTGAGTTGACATCCAGCCCCAATCCAATGAGGATCGGAGCAGCAGGCTCTCCTGCGAAAAGCAACGCGAACATGATGTTGACTTCTGGTTAGAAGTTAGAGGCGGTCCCCCCAAGAAAAAGCCCAGAACGACTGCGGCATGACCACGGAGTGGTGCCCCTGAGCCCCAAGAGCTCCTGCCAGGTCGATGCCTCCTGCGGCAGACCCTGGGCGGAAGATGAAGGCACCGACAGGCGAGTCGATCTTGCTCTTGGGCTCATCGGCTTGTAGCTGCTTTCCCGCGATCTCGGAGAGCTGCGTGTGCCCGGACGGCTAGACCAAGCTCCTCGCTGAGAGCACGGCACAAACGTTTCTTGAAAAGAGGGGTTCGGCATTCGGAAGGATGCCCGGCCCCCGCGGCCCCCGCCCGAGCTGTTTTGTCAACATACAGTACCCGACTCGGGAAAGCATTGTTGCGTGTAAAATTAGGGTGGCTCGCATGGAGGCCTCCCAGCAGTCGTTCGCGCGGCAGCGTCAACGGCAGCGGCGTGAGGCGGCCACGCCGCCGGGGGGTGGAAGCGAAGCCCTGAGAAAGTTCGAGATCCCTGCATTTTGCGTATTATTTTGTGCTCTCTCTGCGAAATGGTCCCTGGCGGCGCCTCCGCCAGGCCTTGGCCGCCTTTGCTTGGGCTTGGGGATGCTGCCGAGGCGGAGCCATCGGAGTCCAAGCCCAAGCTCATCGGGAGACAAATGAAGAGGCTTCCCTTGGATGAGTCCTCACACAAGAGTGGAAAGGCTGATGTCCTGGCGATTGCACGGATGCCATGGTCCTTTATGATTGCAGCGGCTGCAAAGACAAAGTTGGTCGATTTTCGCTTCACATCCTACTGGTACAGTACCTTGTCGATGTCTGACTTGTCGACGTCTGACAATATCTGACCATGAAGTCTCACTTGAGCCCAGCCGCGGCCCGCAAGCTGCGTCGCATCTTTAAACGGAACACCCCTGTGAGTTGTGAACAGTGTTGAGAACCACCGCTCTACTTGCCGGAACTTGGCTGCACCTCGTAGTCTGCACGCAGTTGCCCCACCTGCTAAGTAAGAGGAATGACTCGGAAGAGAGGCCAGGACTTCTTCGCTGTTTGGCCCCCGACCTCGCCCGGCTCACTGCGCTGCTCAACTCTTTGAGCTTCGAATTGGAGCGGCGGTGCTTCCTGGCTCACTGCACCCTTAGAGCAACCACGGCAAAGCCACGGCCAATCGGATGCCTCGGGGACTTCGTGGGTCTCGCGTCCGTTGGCCGCGAGGTCCGGTAAAGGACCAGCCTGAGGCTTTGTTGAGGAGGTGCCCCGAGAAGAAGAGAGCCAACGTTGGTCTACGGAAGCGCACCTCCTCAGGAGGTTCTTCCGGCTCCTCGACATGGCCAGGCCCGCCGTTCGCGTGCACGGGTGGCTGTGGCATCGCTCCCTCGAAGACCTCCACGGCTTGGCTGGGGGCTGTCGACACTGAAGGCTTTACTTGGCAGTCAGAATCGGATTCGCACTTTTCGATCGGCTGTGACTCCGTAATTTAGAGAGCGCGCAATAACAGCGCAAAATGGAGGGGGCAATTACAGCGCACAGAGGGGCCATGAACGATGCTGTGGGATGATATGGGAGCATACACAGGCCGCATTTTGCACGCCCCTGCCCCTCAATTGCAACGCCGTTCATCGGTTCACAACTTTGCCCCGTCGCGAATTCATTGATTCTGTCAAACGCCCTTCCTCGCAAGAGACGCGGTTGCGGTGGTTTCGGAACGATGCCTACGCTCGACAACTCTGCAAGACTATATTCCTGAAGAGGGTTGTCTGTCGCTCCCCAGACACGGGAGTAAACCCAAACTAGGGACCCTCGGCATCGTCCTGCAAGTAGCAACCTGGTTTCCGAAGAACTGGAGAGCAGGGGAGCCTGGCCTCCCTGTCGTGGCCATTGGATTGCTCCACTGGCATTTCCAGTCCTTGCTCCTCGGAGGGTATAAAGGGGTAATTAGGGAGTCTGAAAGAGAGGAGACGGAGGAGGCGGAGTAGTGGCATTGAAAGCTCTGCTCCTCGGGCCCTGCTGTGGCGACCTAAAGGGGCCCACTCCGAACCCAACCCTGCACCAGGCTGCCTGTGCAGCTGGCTGCCGGGTCGACTCCACAGGGAATTCCTGCCAACAGTGCTCTCTGCTCCGACCTTCTGGCCATTTCTGGCCCAGCCGCACTGCCTCGACCGGTGCCGGATGCTCCGCTGGCGCCAGCCAGTCCTGCGCAAGCTGCGCATCGGCCTGGAGAGATCGGGATGCCCATCCCCCAAACGAACGTGTGACTTAGCGAGTTCCGCCTCCAGGTTCCGCGGCTCTGAAGTCTCAACGAGAGCATCTGGAAGCACCTGCCAGAGCTAAAGCACTCATGGTGTGTGCGTGTTCGACGTTGCACCAGACGCTTCATGAATCACAGCATCTTCCCTTTCAGGAACAAAACCTCGACGTGCTCGGCGCAGGGAGCTGGAAGCGTCTGCACTGGCTGCATCTCGGGGGCCGGTGCCACCTTGGACCGGTGGCGGCTGTTGGCTTCAACAGCCATCTCCTCTCCGCCACACATCACAAAGACCGGGCCTCTTCAACCGCTTCCTCGACGCGATGATACTCCTCACGGGGTCTTGGTGGCTTACGACCCCTTCCTAACTTGGTGAACTCTGCAAGTTCATGACATCAGCCCATGAGCTGATCATGCCGTTTCCTTTGCTCCTCCTTCACTGCCAGGCGAAGAAGTCTGCAGTGAAACGAAACGGAGAGGCTCACTGGTGAGGGTTCAGGTTCGGAGGTCTGACGTGTTGCACCATGGTCGTGCCAAGCTTGCCTTATTGGGTCACGAACTGCCTTGTATGAACCCACGGAAACCTCTCAAGTCCTTGTGCTCGTGCCAAACCTTGCCTTCGGCAAGGCACTGGCAAACTTGCGATACTTGTGACTCGCACCTTGATGATGTTCAACAACTTCTCGTTTCACGCTGGCTACCGATATGTTACCAAATGTTGAATTTCTATTATGCAGAGGCTGCAAGAACAATTAAAGTTTACGTCGCGCACCAAGACAGTGCAAAATCCATCACTGCCCGGGACTCATGTAGTTGCATCGCCTTCTGTAGAAGCCTGAGCACTTTGATGCGCAGCTGTTGTGTCTGGAATCTAAGTAGGATGTCATTGCAAGAGTACACACATATTGGCGCTGGGCTCCCTGCACTCGTGATCTGCAGGGAGCAGGTCGTTCGTCCTACCAATCTCCAGCTCTCCAATACCTTGGATACCGAGGGCTTCTTTTCAGGTCTGGGCAGAGGATCGCCTGAGGCCTGCCCCTCTGCGGCCCAGTGGCTCATTGTCGGCGTCGAGTGATTACGCTTCACCGTCCCAAACTCAGAAACATAGCCTGAGCTGCACATGCTGTGCCTGATCCCAGAGCCTGCAAAGGCATTATGTTACAAACTATTATATATATATAATGTTATATTATAATATAATATATTATATTATGTTATATTATATTATATGCAAGGGCATGTTTTTCTCTCTGCGGCCCCCGGACTGCTCTTCTCTGGTGGACCTTCCCACTTCGAGATGAAGCCCAGGTTGGGCTTCGGGAGAAGGATCTGGCCTGTCAAAATTGTCCATAATGTTAAAACCGCTATAATTGAAGAAG